CATTTAGTAAACATATCTAATGCATACATTATTGAAGTATAATTTACATACAAATATATTTTTAGTATTTTTTACTCACCTCCCTGCACTGTATGAGAGTTCCAGTTGGTCCACATCTCTGTCAACACTTGATATTATCCATCTTTTTTATTTTAATCATTCTAGTGTATGTGAAATTGTAGCTCATCATGGTTTTAATTTGCATTTCCCTGATAACTAACCATGTTGAGCATCTTTTCATGTGCTTGTTGGCCATACACATTTGTTCTTTTGTGAAGTGACTATTCAATCTCTTGCCTTACTATTGAGTTTTTTTGTTCTGTTTGGGGGCTGGCCAGTATGGGGATCTGAACCCATGACCTTGGTGTTATAAGGCTGTGCTCTAACCAGCTTAGCTAACTGGCCAGCACTTGCCATTGAGTTTTTTGTTTTGTTTTGTTTTTTGGCTGTTGGTCGGTACAGGGATCGAAACTTGGACCTTGGTGTTATTAGCACCACGTTTAACCAAGTGAGCTAACCAGCCGGCTACAATGGATTTTTAATTTTATTATTTTTTATTTTTTTTCCTTTTTGTCTTTTTTCGTGACCGGCAACGGATCGCAANAAAAAAAAAAAAATCAAAGATGTGTGCCAGGTGCTCCCATGACGGAGATAATGATATTATCTCCATTTCGAAGATGAGGAAACTGAGGCTCAAAGAGGCCAAGTGACTTATACAGGATCCCAACTCCCAAGGCCAAGTCTTGACCTCTGAGCTATAATGTCTTGGTTGGGTAGTGGCAGGTCCCCTTTTATGAAATCATGCAATTTGGAGATACAAATGGGAATGTGAGCTTGAACATGTTTGGTCAGAGACCTAGAATGGCTGCTGAGGGCCCCAGACTCACACGTCATACTGCGAGGCCAGCCCACAGTTCGCTCTGTGGTGACTGTAGAATCGGTTTTCCAGATCAATGTGGGTCTCCCCGATGAGGTCATCAGAACCCACAAGGTCATGATCGAATATGGCCACGGTCAGCTCTGGCTCAGCCGGGAGGGAGATACTTAGCTCCAGGACCCTGGCCAGGAGGGAGAGTGGCTGAGGACACCTCCACACCCTAGGAGGTGGTGTAGGGTGGGAGTAGGGGTGTCAGCAGCGTGGGTCCATTCCACCACCATCACCAGGCCAGTTACCCAAGTGAGAGCCCTTGGGCCACAGGGCCTGATGGTCAAATTGCTCCCCCATCCCTATCCCCAGGGCCCAGCCTCACTCTCCAAAGACGGGGTTGAGCTGCTTGGGGATATAGCGTTCCTTGGTGTCCTGCCGTTCCCGGCCAGCGCTCACCACCACATAGGGGTCTGCTTTGCCGTTAGGGTCTGCAGGAGCCAGGTTGGTAGCCTAGTGGGACAGTATGGAGTGGAATTGGAAGAAGTGTCATTGTCATAGCCCAAGATTATCCTTGTTGGACCTAATCTCAGATTAAATGTAAGCAGGAAGTTACCAAGGAGAGATCTCCCGCTGTGAGAAGTTAACTGGGAGGTTCAAGATGCCGTTTATTTTCAATTAGTTATGAGATGCTTAAGACATACAAATAAGTATAATGAAAAATATAATAAAAAACAAGATATGTGGAACAATGTACAGAATAAGGGACTTGTTCAATTTATGACTCTCCATATTGTTTGTCTTTTATTTTTTATGATGAGCATCTTTTACTATTAGGAATAATTAAGGGTTAGCATGGTGCTGGTAACACCAAGGTCACAGGTTCGGATCCCCTTACCACCCAGCCACCAAAAAAAAAAAAAAAAAGAGTGTTTTAATTAAATGAAAAATAATACATTGAGCATGCGTGTGCCCAGTTTAATAAATGAGACATTACTAACAAACTGAGAAACCCTTAATAAGCTTACCTGATTTAATTCCCTCCTCATCCCTGAAGTAACCAAAACCCTTTACTAGGGATTTACCACTAACATATGTATTTTTATACTTTTATTACCTATATAAGTATCCCTGAGTAATATGTAGCACTATTTTACATATTTTTTGTGGGGTTTTTGGTTTGTTTTTTGGGTTTTTGCAGTTGGGGGATCTGAACACTTGACCTTGGGGTTACAAAGCCATGCTCT